AGCTCGGCGCCTGTAATAGTACAGAAGCCAATATTCATAAAAATGTCGTCTACCCATGTTCTACACTCGTCTCTAATCAAGCCTCCAACACTACTCAAGCCAGTAGAGTTGTCGAAGGCACCATCCGAATTAACCTTGACCCATCCTGTGCCCGGCGGGGACCAATGGATGAAGCGGGTAATATATGTATTAACCCGAACATGGGCGTGGGCTTCAACCGCCCGACTATACGTTTCCTTCATTCGGACGACTTCCTCTAGTCTCGCTTCCTTACTCAGAGAGTTAAAGATTCTATCATTCCGCCACGACCATAATATCCACACCGCAATGGCGAACATGCAGCCCCACTTGAGAGTAGTTCCCCGCTGTACCATTAACAGATTTTTTCTCAACCACGCTTTAATAGGTAACGAAAAAAATTCGCTACCTCATCCAGCAGGATTAATAGGGTCCAAAATTTCCTGGCAGCCCGACAGTCACGTAGGACATGTAGCGCCGACTCAGCCTCTCCACAGACGTCACACTCCTCCGCGGAGGCGAGATGGCGCCGCACCCGTTCCGTATTAGTCAACAAATGACCTTTGGTGGCGAGCCAAAGAAAAGTCCGCACTCTTTGCGGGGCTGGAGCACGCCAAACAACCTTCCAGAGCGGTTGGTCAGGATCCTTAGCCGGTTGAAGAAGGGTTGTATACGCAGTACGCATAGAGAATTTCCCGTCATGGGAATGTCGCCAAACCATGCGATTGTCTCCAGCGTCTTCTCGCGGCGGGAGGATTCCGGCTATTCGCAAGATCACCGACGAGGGGAGAAGGCCGTGAAACTCATTCCACTTCCACCTACCGAACTCGTCCACGTAGTCTACGACCTTCGCATCCATGTTTACGACCAGCATCCACTGTGAGTAAACTGAACAATGGTTCTTCGGTACCCATCCAATTATCGATCCAGAAGCGGGCTGATGGTCCGTTTCCCAAAGCCCATCTTACACCGTTCGTTATATCTGGCCATACCTTACGAAGAGCACGCGCCAGCCCCTAGCCATTTTTGAACCGAGAGCTAGCACAGCCAGTCGAGGGGGTAATTCCATATTTAGCCGTTAGGACACGTACGCATAGGGATTCTCTACCCGATAAAATCCCCCACCCCAGTTTCGTTAAGAATGTTTCATTCATGAAACGTAAGTTTTTTATGCCCAAACCTCCCTCGTCTTTGGGTTTACACACCTCTTTCCAGGAGACCAAGTGAACCTTTCTCTTATCAGCCGAGCCTCCCCACACGAAATCCCGACTTCTACGCTCAAGGCCATCCTTGATGGAGCACGGTAGCATGGCCGATTGCATAGAATAAAATGGTAGTGTACTCAGGGCTGATTAGGTAAGAGTGACTCTACCCGCCATCGATAACGACTTCATCCATCATCCGGATAATCTCGCTTCCATTTTTTCTACGAGGTGCATGTACGTATTATTAGTCACCCGACCATGGATAACTGGCACTCCAAGGTACTTACCCAAGTCCGTCGTTCCCTTAAAACTGAGTTGGCCTGCCAACCGAGATCGCTCATCGGCCTTCACATTATTTGAAAAGAAAACGAGCGTCTTTTCTGAACTTACCTTGAGGCCCAAGAAATAGCAGAAGTGATCGAGCACGTGTTTAAGGGTAGCTACCTGGTCATCAGTGGCCTCCAGGAATAGAAGGAGGTCGTCGGCGAACATTAGAAAAGGAACTCTAACGGTCCCCCTTCCCACCGAAATCGGTCGCCACTTTCGCTCGTCAACGGCCACGCCAATTAGTTGCGCCAATCTCTCCATGCATAGGACAAAGAGGTATGGGAAAATAGGATCTCCTTGTCGGACTCCTCTCTCTACACGACCCGTTCCACAGCAGCTTCATCGAAGCCGAGCTGATACAAGCCATAACGGCCGTTACTAACTTTTCGGGGTACCCGGCTAGGCGCATGGTTTCTTCAATGAAGTCCCATCTTAAGTAATCATAGGCTTTTTCGAGATCAACTATAATGACCATAAATCCTTTCGCCCCTTTCTTATAACGCATGGAGTGAATGAGCTCCTGGGCGACGACGATATTATCTGTAATGTGACGCCCCAGAACAAAGCTCGCTTGTGCTGGGTGGATCAACTCTGACAAAGTACTTTTCATCTGATTTAGCAAAATTTTGGTAAAGAGCTTGTATATGACATTAAGTAGGCTTATTGGGCAGAACTGTTTAACGGTGTTTGCATTCTTGACTTTTGGGATAAGGGTGATCAAAGTCTGATTTACTTCCTTCGGGACCACACTAGCACGCCACATTATCCGAATAAAAGCTCGCACTGAGGGACCCACAATCTCCCAGTTCTTCTTGAAAAACAAAGCATTTAAACTATCCAGCCCAGGCGCTTTTAAAGAGCCCATGTTGTGGAGGGCTGCGTAAATTTCCTCGTCAGAGATGTCGCTCTCCATAGTCATAACCGTTGCCGTGTTGCACACTGGGAAGAGACTCAGTGTCCCCCCTTGTCTCTCCGGCGGCGGTCCAGCCGTATAAATACCTTTGAAGAACTCCGTAGCAAGAGTACAAAGGGCCTTTTGATCAGTAACCAAATTTCCGTTAGGGTCCAACAGTTCTACAATTTTACATCGTCTTTTTCGGTGTTTAATCTGTCTGTGGTAGTAGCTAGTATTTCGATCTCCCAACAACGCCCATTCCCGGGTAGATTTTTGCACTAACAACAACTCCTCTTGAAATATTATGTCGTCCAACTCCTCCCGTAGCTGGCGTTCTAACCCCCATCAGCCTCTCATTAATATAAGACTTTCGGCATCTCTGAATGCCCGCTAGCTGGGCCAGGAGCTTTTTCTTTTTTTGAAATATATTGCCAAACACCTGAAAATTCCACACCTTTGCTGCTTCTGTAAACTCAGTGACCGCCGCATCGAACGAGAGGGATGGTAACCACGAGTCACTCAGTATGTCACGGAAACCCGGGTGGAGAAGCCATGCGGCCAAAAACCTGAAAGGCTTAGCTCCTAATGGCCCGACACTTTGTCTGTCACATCCAATAAGCAGTGGCGAGTGGTCGGACTGGATCCGAGGTAAGAGCCAGACCCTCCCCAGCCCAAATTTCTCCAACCATGCCTCATTAGCTATAAAGCGGTCGAGTTTCTCCGTCACTTTTCCGTCACGGCCGCTCCTAACCCACGTGAAACTATGCCCGTCAGTGGGCACCTCCTATTCCAAATATCTTTTACTTAGAAAGATATTCGACGATATTCAAGACTTGTTGGTGATGTTCGAAATTTGAATTCTTTTGTAACCACTTTGGTTTTAGGCTTTTGAATTCATGAAATTAAAGCCGTGAAATTTATTCTCCTCATAATTCTCCTCACTAGTATTCGATCCTGTGCATTTACACAGATGTAAATGAAGTATTATAAATTATTTGTATGCATATAATATTAAAATTATAAGTTAGATAATGATATTATATTTTAAACATAGGGTATTATAAGTTATATTTATGTATATAATATTAAAATTATAAGTTAAATAAAGGTGTTATATTTTAAAATTTGATCATTGATTAAAATAACTAGTACATAACGGTTTGATTGTATATGAATTACTATATTGATTGCATAAAATAAAATAAATAATGCATTTTTTGAAATTTTAAGGGACTATAACTAATTAATTAGCTAAAAAATATTAAATTTATTATAACAATTGCTTATGCGATTTTAAGGAATTTTACTATTCCATTAAAAAAAATTAATTTATTTAAAAACTAATCGCTTAAGCAGATAAAGATATATTATATTGATTTTATAATAAATTACTCGAACATAAAGGTTTTACAATATAGTTTCTTATGTTTATGTAACTTTCACATATCATTTAGTGTAAAATATAATTATTAATTGTAATATAACTATTATATGATACAATTTCCAGAGCTGGTGAATTTATTTTATATTGTTGTTAGTGTATTTGTCCATGTTGTACATATGCAGCATTTTCTGTTTTCATCATGATTATTATTGTAGTGATATCATAAAAAACAATAGATATTCCAAATAAACATTTATAGAAAGTTCTTTTAAAAATTTATATTCTGATTACATGCTTATATAATCATGAGTTTCTATAATAAATAACTCATAATTAAGTTGGCAGAGTAATGATTATATAAGAAATTAAAAAAGTAAATATTTTTAGCTAATTAACCTAAATTGATATACTTAGATAAAATAGTGGTCATTAGTTTAGATTTTGTAATTGTCCAAAATTGATGTATTTTGTAAAAGTAACGGTTTTTTTATTTGGAAAGTTTGTATTATTTATTAAGTAAAATTTATTAGGTTTTATTTATGAGGTAAAATTAAATGAAAGACTAGCAATTATATATATATATATATATAGGGTCACGCTCCGGTGAGAATGGTTCTTAATGAAAGAAATAAGAATACATCTTAGTCATCGGATTGAGTGATCCAGCGGATGAAAAAACCTAGCATGTATACATTTATTAAGGGCAACAAAGTAATTTCTCAACACATTAAAACCAACTCCATTCAAACAACCCACACGTGTGGGTCCCACTCCACTAACAAATCCCTCTCAATCTATCAATCGTCTCTATCTGTCTCACCTCAACTCTCTCTTTCTCTCTTTTTTTCTCTCTCACACAGACAACACACACTTAGCACACACATTCATCCCACACGCAGTACACACAAACACACAGACTCAGCACACACATCACGCACAAAACACGCACACTCAGCATACAAACGCGCCTGTACACGCCGAAAAAATCCACGCCAGCCCCGCCCCTGGAGCCGCCGATCGAGGCTGTCCACTGCCGGCTTCCGGAGCTTCAGCGCCGCTGGCCCGTTAGATTCCCGTCGTAGAGGCCGGCACCGACATCCGCAACTAGTGTCCGCCGCTCCAGGCCCGCCGTAGCCACCGCCGCCTCTTCTTTCATCTCCCGACATCCGCCATGCTCCACCACGTCCCGCCAATGATCAACCCTCTCTGCCGACGAGAGGTGGTGAAAGAGAAGCCCGCGACCAATATGCTCCGACTGTTCGAGGGAAGTCCACGGTCAAGCTGCTCCCCCGCTCGATGATGTCCGACGACATAAGAGGAATAAAAATCTTGCGGTCGGCAGTTTCAGAAAAATGGCTGGGAAGGGGGGATTTTTTTTGTAAATTTGATATCTTGAAGGGACCTAATTGTAAATTATGAAGTTTTAACTATATTACAATTAAGTCCATGGGCTAAATTTATAATTTATAGAAAATATATAAAAATATTATTTTAGATATATAAAAACATATTTTTATACATACATATATTATATGTGTTTCATCCAAAAGTAATATAAAAATTTGACTCAACCATTTTTTTTAACTCAATCCCAATATCATTAGTTTTATCAATATAACTAAATAATATCAATCAATCATTCTTACACACAACATCAACCTCAATTCACTATTCATCAACTCACATAATTTTAACTAAATATCACATCACATCTTCTCTCTCCTACTTTTACATCAAATTACTTTTAATCATTTTATTTGAAATATTATTTTATTTTACCCACTAACAACTAACCATACCAACTTTTTCAAATTTAACCAACCCAAACCAAGAAATCCAATCAAAACTAAAAAATTTTATATCCAAGCATGTAGGGTTTCATTTTTTTTTTTTTTAAAAAAAAAGGTAGATACAATCTTGCAATTTTATTAATTTTGATTATTTTTCTAATTAAGTTCATGACCACAATATTTAATTTATAGAAATATTCTCATAAATGCATATTAATGATAAATAAGGTATGCAATGATTAAAATTTTTAATATCTCAAATTTTAATATATAAAAAAAATTAAAATAATAAAAGTACTTTTATAGTAATAAATAATAACTTATTCAACTATTAAGGTTCATTCGACGTACAATTATATCAACTAAAACTAGTTTCAGAAGGCCCATAATTTATACATGATCATATAAAGTAGTGCACTTTATATACCAGCACGCTGCACATTATAAAATAAGACGTTGCACTTTATAAAACAACCCGTTGCACATTATCACCACACTACACAATTATTGTTAGCAGTTATCATAAAAAATATTACGCAATATAAATTTAGAAAAATGGATCTACATAATATGTTAATATTCATGACATCGTCTATACACTAAAAAATACAAGAATGATAACGTACCAAATTTCACTTTTGCATTTTATATACCAATATGTTGCACTTTATTCAACGATACGGTGCACTTTATAACACAACATGTCGCACCTTATAAAATAGCACGCTACGCGTACAAAAAAATACGATAATTCTGCTAATCGATCGAATATTATTAGTTGGTTAAATGTTGAATTTAGTCTTTTTAAATAAATTAAATAACTGAACATACCGAACTATATGAAAAAACACAAACATGCTGACGTGCCAAAAATAACACGCTATATCAATACGTTGCACTTTATACAACGGCTATACAAACATGCTAACGTACCAAAATTTCACATTTTCATTTTATAAATCAATACGTTGCACTTTATGCAATGATACGATGCACTTTAAAACACAACATGTCGCACCTTATAAAATAACACGCTACGTGTACAAAAAAATACGATAATTCTACTAATCGATCGAATAATATTAGTTGATTAAATGTCGGATTTAATCTTTTTAAATAAATTAAATAGCTGAACATACCGAAATATATGAAAAATGTTACCAATTCTTTTTTATGTATATATTTGGTTATGAATTATAATACTGTTTTTTATCTATATTTTTTGTATGAGACACGAGTGCACATTATGGTTATACGAGTTGCACATAAATTCGGTACGAAATTATATATTTTGTAAATTTGATATCTTGAAGGGAGATCCAACGAGATCCAACGAGCATGAATTCGGTACGAAATTTTATATTTTGTTTCGATTATTATTATTATTATTATTATTATTATTATTATTATTATTTAATATATCGAGTATTTCGGTACGATGATATTTTTTTTTATTTAAATATATTTCGGTACGATGATATTTTTTTAATTTAAATACCAAAATAAAAACCAAACTATATTAAAAATTTTATCTTATATATTTTTTGTATAAAAATATTAAGCTATAATTTTCTATTAAAATATAAGAAATTAATTAGTATTATTTTATCAAATTATATAAAATAACAATAATTATTAACAGATTTCTTTTTATTTTTTTTTTATATTTTTCTTTGGTTTAGCTTTGAATCTGTGACAGATCTGGCGGAGGCGGTGAAGAAGTCGAGCCGCGGCCGGGCACTCAGCGAGTCCTCCAATTCCCGCCCATTCCTCATAAAATCCGGCGACTATGAAATCCTTGACGGCCAAACGCGCCGCAGCTCCGAGAAATCCCCGCCTACCCTGCAGCGCCACTCACATGCCGGAAAAAGAGCCTGTGTTCACAAAATCGACGAGCTCTATCCAAAGCCCAAGAGTAAATCCGCTAGCCTCTCTTTCATGGTGTAAGTTATGTGTTGCCTTTTTTTTTTGTTTTAATTTGAAGTTAACCAGAAAAATCAAAGTGTATAATTTAGCTTTTCCCCCAATTTTTTAGACTTCTTATGATAATGTGTAGGATTCTGCAGAAGGGGCGGGATTGGTGGCGGTGGCTGTGGCGGGGGCTGGTGGCGGCAGTGGCGGGTTTTTTGGGTGCTTGTGGTGGCAGCGGGCTTTTGTGGTGGCAGGGATGGTGGCGGGGGCAACATGGCTGACGGGGTTGATGACAACGGTGGTTGATGACGTAGGGGACATGGCCGACGGGCCTGGTGACGGCATCAGTCCGACGACGACGACCACAGCGGCGGCAGCGGGGGGCTGAGAGTGTGGCTGAGGTGCACGTGGTGGCGGGGCGGCTGAGGGATGTGTGTGTTTTAGGTGTAGTGTGTGAGAGAGAGAGAGTATGGTTAGTGGGGTTGGTGGTGGGCCCATGTGTTTAATGAGTAATGTTTATTCTACCTTTAATAAGTGGTCAAATGTATAAATTTGACCCCGAAATGTACATTTATTTACGTAATTGCCACACGTGTTTGACTTTTATTTTTAAATTTTGACTTAATAATAACCATTGATATGCTTGATCCCGTGGTCTAGACTTATTCTCATTTCTTGCATTAAGAGTCATTCTCATATGATCCTTTCTCTATATATATAAATATATATAGATTACGAGTGGTATCGAACATTAGGATCTCTTAAAGTGAAGGAAACGCGGGACGCAAGTTTCATTGAAAGTTGCAAACAAATTTTGGCTTCTATCATTATATAAAAAGAATAACTTTTTTACAAATTTAGAAACTTTTTCCCTTCAAAATCATTAAATATATTCTATATATAGTAATTGTTGGACAAATCTGAATAGGCAAAAAATCCGCTCATTAATTGTGTAAAGATTTGTTTCTCTTTTTCCTGTTTCTTAGTTTATCGTTTTAACAATAAATATTTGTTTTTCTTTTTCCTATTTTTAGTATAAATCTATACGAGTTTATCTCTTCTGTTACAAAATCCCATTGCATACGATTTTTAGGTGTTTAAAAAATTTCATCTCTTATCTATACAGATTTGAAAAAATAAAATAAAATAGAAATCAATTCATAATTACTACTAGAAATCCATTATCTTTAAAAAGAAAAAATAAAATAAAATAGAAACCAATTCATAATTACTACTAGAAATCCATTATCTACTTTAAGAAGCTAATTTTCATCGGTCTAATTATTAATATTTTTACAAATATTCTAAGCTAATCATACAAAAAAGTATAATGATAATTTTGAAATGGTGTGTAATCAAATTTTTTTGTGTTCTCTTATACAAAATCATTTTACATTGTTTGACCCCGAATCTTTAATTTATAATTATTAAGTATTGTTTATCCTCCTCTTTTATTTATAATTATTTTTTTTTCTTCCTCTTTTTAAATACGATCAATAATAGTTTTCACTTCCGCCATTGACTCAAACTCGAGGTCTATTTATAATATTGTTAATTTAATATTGTTCCCGTGCATCGCACGGGGTACACACTAGTTAAGTTGTAAAGAGGGTGCGTATGTAATATGCATGCATGGAAAGTAATTGATTTTTAATCAATTTTTGAGTTTGTTCGATTAAAAAAATAAAATAGAAAATATATTAAATGGAAGGAATCAGATTTGGGAATCTTTGGAAATTGGAACATTAGTTTGTGATTCAAGAACGTAATAATTGACTCTGCAAATGGCGATTTACGATTCGGGAGAGAGCCCTTAACTTAGGCCTGAAATTGAAATTTATTGTATGCTTGGTTAACACACCAAGGCCCGTTTAATTTGTCCAACTTCTTAATTGAAAATATTGGATATAAGCATGTTAATGGGCTTTAATTTTCGAAGCCCAAGATTCCAATGTCATGATTTGTCTCAAATAATTTGGATTGGGCCCAACCGCATGATTAAAGGATTTCGCGTCTCATTCACTTCAAGACACGTCGTCCGTGCGCAAGTCTCGAGGAGACATTTGTAGATAAAGAAAATTTGTTGCCAATCAAATGACGCCACGTGGAAATTAATGTATTAAAAATTAAATCATATTTTTTATTTATATTATAAGAATTTTCACATATTTAATTCCTAAATTAATAGTTAATTAATTAATATTTTAATATAGTAATTCTCGACCAATCAAATAATGTCAAGTGTCAAATCTTAATTTTTGGTAAATAAATCACATATCTTCTAGAATATCTTGGTAGATTTAAGTGAATCTAGAAAATCTTATGTGAATATTCATGGACCAATCAAATCGCGTCCTGTAATTCTTAAATTTGGTAGGATTTACTCTTCATTAAGCAAAAAAAAAATAAAAATAAAAAATAAAATAAAAAACACATATCATAATTCATATTAAAATTCAAGAGCTCTAAAGATTCTCTCGACGAGATTCAAATGTTTTTGAAGATTCAAACGCGTTCTTGAAGATACGAAGCCAGATTTAAGTACGTCCAACCTGAAGACTAGCGTTTAATCTAGAAACAAACTGCGAAGCCTCTGAATTGCGTTAATAAACTCAAAACCGGTGTGGAGAATATTTAAAATCTACTTTGCGGTAAAGTGAAGAGCAAGAACTCGTGTTCTTCACGTTCTTGGGATATTATGGTGTTTGATCCGAAATCAAGGCTTTGACCCTCGGATTAAAATTAATTCAAGTCAAATCAAGTCAAGAAGAAAATCAAGTCGAAGATTTCGCTCCAAGACTCACAATTGTTCGTAAGAAGAATCAGAGAAGAAAATAGAGATTTGTAATCCACCAATATTCATTTGATTCGAGAAATTCATTTGTAAAATATTTTTCGAGCTTATAAATTCAATACACGAAATTTGTTGTTACAAGGAGTATTTAGTAAAATCATATTTATACTTGAACAATTTGTCGAGCACCGAACTTTCAAAATAAAGACCAAAATTGGAGGTGAGTGATCCTAAATTGGACTTGAGTGATTCGAATTTGATGTGCTCGAACTCAAGCAAACTCAAAATCAAGCTTTTAACTCAAGCGTTCATAAGAAGCTTGTGATTCATTTGAAGCGCCTACAAGGGACAATAGTCTTCAATCAACTCTCCTATTATGTGAACTGTTTATACTTTATAGTTTATACAACTACGCGGCTTATATATGAGAACAAAATTAATCAGTGATGACTAAATAGATGATGAACAGTCTCAACTTTATCAGTTTTGCAAGTACATTTACCTTACCCATTGGGACATGCATCGTGGGTTGCTTTCCTTTTTCACTTCTTTTTATCCCCTTTTCCTCCTTTTCCTTTATGTTTCGATGTGTAGCCTTTCTTAGAAGGAGAACCTTTTTTAATGTCCATGTGCTCTTCAACTATTGATAACTTTCATATATATTGAATGACAAAACAATTGGAATAATTGAAAAATTCATCCCCTCATAAATTAATCAACAAATCTCCAAACTTATGTATTTTCCTCTAGTGCTTTAGAATTCCATGTGTTCTCATATATATTTAAGATCCTAAGTGTGAAAAATCTAAGCTATGAGATGTGGAACATTAATAGATAATTAAATTACATACAATTTATTAACTAATGATTTGTAATCTAATGCATAGTAAGACATTGGATTGTATCAGTAATGCGAAGGAGCCAACAGCCAATGAGACAGCTCCATGTGGGGCTGTCCCACATTGGAGGCAATGTGGGACAGCCCCACATGGAGCTGTCCCATGGACTGTTGGCTCTGTAATGGAGCCAACAGTTGACTCCTTAGCATTTTTGTGGATTGTATTTAAATAACTTTATTGAATTAATGACAAGAAAAGTTTTCATAACATCATTATTAGTGAATGTGGTTGATATTTCATCATGTAATGTAATGAACGCAAA